CCGCTCCTGGCCGCCTTTTCATTTTCTTAAGCGTTTTTTGAAAAGAAAACAGTTTTAATTTTGATGAAGTCCAATTTATCAATATTTCCCTTTATAATTAATGCCTTTTATATCCTTACTCCAAAGTTGCAAAGATTTTTTTCGTATATTTTTCTTGTGAAGTTTTAAAGTCTGTGATCCTTTTCTAATTAATTTTTAATGTATAATATGAAGGGTTAAAGTTAATTTTTTCCGGTATGGATATCCTATCACAAATGTTCCAGTACCATTTGTTGAAAAGATCATCTTTTGCCCATTGAATTTGCATTCTTGAAAATCAGCCATCTGTGTGCAAGTCTAATTCTAGACTCTATATTCTGTTGCATTGAACTGCATGTTCGTGATTGATCTGATGCCACACCATGTTGACTGTTGTAGCTTTATAGAAAGTCTTGAAGTCAGGTGATGTTAGTCTTCCAACTTTGTTCTTTTTCAAAATTGTTTTGGCTATTCTAGGTTTTCGTGTTTCCATATACATTTTAGACTCAGCTTGACAATTTCTATAAAAATGCCTGCCAGGGTTTTGATTGAGATTGCCTTGAATCTGTAGATTAATTTGTGGAGAATGGACATCTTAACAATATTGGGTCTGCTATCTCTCCATTTATTTAGATCTAATTTAATTTCATGGATAGGAATATTCAATATTAATCATCATTTTTAGTGACTGTTTAGCACAATAGTATATTGTGTTGTCATTTATTCAATTGCCTGTTATTCATTTAGGTTACATCCAGTTTCCCCCCATTACAAACAGTACTATAGTGAATATCTTTGTGCTGTTTTTGCACACAGCCTTGATTATTTACTTAGAATAAATCTGTAGCCAAGTTAACCCTCTTGACTGTTCTTTGCTATTTACCTTAAACCGTGGGTAATTTGTTGTAGTTGGATGTGGAGTACCGATGACCTAGGCGTGCTTTCAGGAGGCCCATCAGCATGGTGATTTAGAACGGCTTGGCAAACTATGGCAGCTGGCTAGCCTTGTTTTATATGGCCCTCGAATTAAGAATTTTTAAGGAAGGATTTGGAAAAAAAAAAAAAGACTGTGTGACAAAGGTTGATGTGACCCATAAAGCTTAAGATATTTACTATCTGGTCCTTTGAAAATTGCCGATCCCAGATTTAGAGCCAGGCTCTACAGGGGACAGATCTGATCAGGGCCCCATCCATTGCTAACTGGCTAAGTGATTGATCTTGGCCTGGTTCCTTCATTACTTAAAACTCCAGGCCTGTTTCTTCATCTGTAAAATGGGGATAGTGAGAGTGCATTGAGGGTTGATAGCCACAAGGGTTTTTTTCCTCCTCTTGGGTGTTGCAGGAACTTAAATTGATTATTCATGTGAATCAAGATTGAGCTTGTTACTGTCATTCTGGACTGGGCCCCAGGGTCACCACCTGGCTCCTGCCCTCCCCAGCCAGCCTGCTGAAGAGGTGGGGCACATACCAAAGACACCAAACAAACCCACACACTGCAACTTAAAATAGTACAGGACCAGTGCCAACCCAGGGCACTTGGCCTCAGCAGAAATGAGGAAAAAAAATGTAAAAGCCCAGGTTTAGGGGAGGAGGTTTGGACTTTAGAATCTCGAACCCATCATTGTCATGTGCCTACTTTATTTTATTTATTTTATTTTTTTTTATGTTTATTTTAATTTCGTGGACGAGGTTCTGGGGCCCCAAGAACGGGGGCCCCGGAAGTCGCCCGCCTACTTTAAATGTTAGCTTCTAACTGCCTCTCCTCCTTTGGACTGCCCATATCTGGGATACTGTGGCCCATCAAGGATGGGGGGGGTAGTGGTGACATGTGGATAAACCTGGTTGGGCCTGTAGCTTGGGGTTGCTTAAGACTTGGGGGTTCTGAGCAGCCTGGGGTCCTTGAGAGGCTTGAAGGGCCCAGTGTCATGCAAGGAGGGGGCCAGGCCTTCCTGTTCAGAGGGTTGACAGGCTATGGCAGCCTGAGGAGGCAATAGGAGAGGCCCTGAGTCCCCTGCTACAGACCCTTGAAGGTTTCCTCTCGGGGGATCACAAAGGTAATGTCCTGGCAGTGACTAGGAGGGGTCCGGTGCCCCCTAGGAGGGGCTGACCCTGTTTGCCAGCTCTGCCCAAGCCTTCCGTAGCTGTCCCGGCAGGGGTGTGGTTTTACTGTCCCTGTGGATGTGCTGGGGACTGTGTCTCGCACATGGACATCCCACACAGAGTCATTTGCCCTCCTAGGAGGGGTTCTGGGCTATTTTTAGCCTCTAGTTGGTGCTGAGAGTGATTTTGAAATAACTGTGTGGTACGCGCTGGCTCATCCCCAGGTTCCTTGCAGAGGCTTCCACTTGCTGCAGCTGTCCCTGCCAGCTATCAAGGGGGATGCGAGTGCTGGCTGCTTTACCCAGAGGTAAGCCCACCCTCCCCTCAGCTGGACCCCTAAACTCGGACTGAGGAGGAAGTGTGGGTTTTTCTCTTTAGGTAAAATGATGGAATTGTGGTTATGGAATGGGTTTTTTTTCTTTAAGTTATTATTTCTTAGAAAAATATATATGAATGGAATATAATTTTACACATCTGGGGATTGCTACAAAAGCAAGAGGAAGTAGGAGGCTGGGATGAAGTAAGATTGGTTGTTAATTGATGAATCCAGGTACAGGAGAGTGCGTCATACACTTCTGCCTGCTTTTGCACGTTTACATTTTCTACAAGTTAAAAAGAGCAAGTGAGTGAGGCCTTAAGAACCTGACAAGCTTGGGTTTGGGCCTTAGCTTTGACATTCCTATCTATGAGACCTTAAACGAGGAGCCCCTGTTTCTTGGTCTGTGAAGTTGGGCTAGTCACAGCTGCCTCAGAGATAGCTGGGAGGGTAGTTAATGAAATAAGGCATGAAGGCACTGAGCTCGGTGTCTGGCACCGTCAGCCCAATAACTCGTGTTCTGGCCGGGAGTCTGGCCAGTTGACCCCTAACTCTTTGGGGGTTGGGAGGGGGATTATAGGAGGATCAGGTGGGCACAGTGTGGCTTCTTTGATTAAGCCACTCTTGGTTCCATTTACATTTTTAGTTGGTTTGGAACTTACTTGGCAGCAGTTTGGAACTTTAATCAGTCAGATTTCTGGGTATGATTCTGCTAAAATATCAAATAGCTGAAGCATTTGTTAGTTATTTATTTTTAAATGTTTTTTAAAAAAATAATTATAGATTCATAGGAAGTTGCAAAAAATTTACCAGAAGGTCCTATGTACCCTTCACCTCGCTTCCCTAATGGTAACACATCTTTGATATGTCTGTAGCACAGTTGACGTTGGCATAATCTGCAGAATGTATTCGCATTTGACCAGTTCTGCAGGCTGGTGTGTGAGTTGTGCATGTGTTCAGTTCTGTGCACTTTAGCACACATGTAGATCCACGTAGCCACTGTGACAATCAAGATATAGAACTGTCCTCCACTGAGGAGCTCCCTTGAGTGAAACATTATTTTTCAAGATAGAAATCATTTTTTTTTCTGATTTAAAAGAGAAATAAATTATATGCAGTAGAATGTCAAGAAAGATACTTGCACTGTCATCAGTGATTTATTTTACATTAATTTGTTCTTTCTTATATTATCTTAGTTTTTATCATGAACATGTATCTTTTTTTTGAGACAGAGTCTCACTCTGTCACCAGGGCTAGAGTGTTGAGGCGTCAGCCTAGCTCACAGCAACCTCAAACTCCTGGGCTCAAGCAATCCTCCTGCCTCAGCCTCCCGAGTAGCTGGGACTGCAGGCATGTGCCACAACGCCCAGCTAGCTTTTCTGTTTTTGGTAGGGATGGGGTCTTGCTCTTGTTCAGGCTGGTCTCAAACTCCTGACCTCAACTAATCTTCTCACCTCAGCCTCCCAGAGTGCTAGGACTACAGGTGTGAGCCACTGTGCATGGCCTGTGTACCATTTAAACAACAGCAACCAAGCTATTTTTTCCATCACTTGAAGCCCTTCACCCTCCTGCACTCCTGCTGATGTTTTGGCGAACACGTTTCCAGACCACTCCAGGTTGCTTGCCCGGCTTCTCTCTGACTTCATCTTTGCTCCGAAAGACATGCTCTGTAGGCAGCACCACGTCTCCTGCTTCCCTGCTGCTCCAGTGTTCAACTGCTATGCAGAAGGGGGGGGGGGCACCCTCAGAAAGCCAGATAGTGGCCTGCTGGGCATTGGCCTACAGCAGCTCTGGAGAAGACCTCGGTCGACACTGGCTGCCTTTCCACACCGCCCCTCCTCTGCCTGCCTCTGTGGATGGAGTGGGCTACCAGACATGGGGGGGGGGGTTGGCTTCCTTCTAACAAAGTATCTGCAGTTCTGGATTCTCTGGCCTGCAGCTCCATGAATGCAGGCTGGACTCTTGAGTCTTTTCTCCCAATAATTCTGATCATTGCACCTGATGCTTGCTGGGTATCTCCCTGTGCCAGGCATCTGGTTTTTTTTTTGAGACAAAATGTTGCTCTGTCACCCTGGGTAGAGTGCAGTGGTGTCGTCATAACCCACTGCAACTTCCAACTCCTGGGCTCAAGTGATCCTCCTGCCTCAACCTCCCAGGTAGCTGGGACTATAGGTGCAAGCTACCACGCCCAGCTAACTTTTCTATTTTTAGTACAGACAGAGTCTCGCTCTTGCTCAGGCTGGTCTCAAACTCCTGAGCCCAAGCGGTCCTCCCGCCTCAGCCTCCCAAAATGCTGGGATTACAGGCGTGAGCCACTGTGCCCAGCCACTGTGCCCGGCCCTGACATACATTGTCTCTGTGAATTCTTGGAGCAACTCACTAGGGTAGCTATTGTCTTCTCAGACAAGGGGAGTGAGGCTCAGAGAGGTTAAGCCATTTCCCTGGATTGCTGGTTGGTTTGTGGCAGATCCACACTCAAGACCAAAATTGTGCACTTCACCCCTGCCCTCCACCTCTCACCAACAGTGGCTGCTGTTAACACAGGACTGCTTGTGTCTTCCCACAGGTGAGGCCAGGCCAGAATGGGGGACTCCAGGGACCTTTGCCCTCACCTTGACTCCATAGGGGAGGTGACCAAAGAGGACTTGCTGCTCAAATCTAAGGTAAGAGGTCAGACCCTCTGGGGCGGAGGCCCACACCCAGGGCCACTGCTTTCCTAGGGTATGAATGTTTCTGACACAGTGGAACTGGCTCCCTGACAGTCTCTGCTCAGGCTTTTGTGCAAATGGAAACACTGGTGTCTGTCTGGGAAGCCTTATTCCGGGGGCTGTGTCTTCACAGCCATTAATTATAGTTAGACCAGGTCATTTGGGAGCCGCTAATGGTCTCTGTCCATTAGCTGTTGGGGCGGGTGCCCAGAGCCTCTCCAAAGCAGGGAATCAATGCTGCTTTCAGATCCAGGGGCATGTTGGCAAATGTGACCTGAAGAGGGCTCAAGGAGGCCAGAGTGGGAGGCTGGGCCTCTTCTCTGAGTAGGAGGATGTTTTGTCATCGTCTCTTTTTGTTGTTAAATTAAATTTTTTTGAAAAGGTAACATTATCAAGTGGTAGAAAAATGAAACAATTTAAGAACATGAATGTCAAGAAATTCCTCCCCACTCCAGCCCCCACCTTCCTTGTCCCACCCTTAGGTAATCACGTTCATTAGCTTCTTTTGTATCTTTTCTGTTTCTTTATGTGAATACAAGCAGATAAACCTATTTTAAATTTGCCCTTTCTTACATAAAAGATGGTGTACTATAGTTGCTGTTTTGTAACTTGCATTATTGCAACCTAGTGTTGTCTTGGAGCTCTTTTGACATCAGTACAGAGACAGCCTTCTTGTTCTTTGTCTAGAAGTTGCGTCGTATTTCATTGTGTGGACACGATAGCTGCTCCCCTATGGGTTGATGCCTGGACTCTTTGCAGCCTCTTGCCAGTACAAATGATGCTGCAGTGAATGGCCTTGTAGAAATGGCATCGTGTCCACGAGAGCTGTGTGCAGGCACATTCCCAGGAGTGGGCTAATTGGGTCAGATTCCTAGACATATTGCTGAGTTGTCTTTTTTTTTTTTGAGACAGAGTCTCACTTTATTGCCCAGGCTAGATGAGTGCTGGTGCATCAGCCTAGCTCACAGCAACCTCAATCTCCTGGGCTCAAGCAATCCTGCTGCCTCAGCCTCCCGAGCAGCTGGGACTACAGGCATGAGCCACCATGCCTGGCTAATTTTTCTATATATTAGTTGCCGATTATTTCTTTCTGTTTATGTAGAGACGGGGTTCTCTGCCTGGCTCAGGCTGACCTCGAGCAATCCACCCGCCTCAGCCTCCCAGAGTGCTAGGATTACAGGCGTGAGCCACCACACCCGGCCTGCTGAGTTGTCTTTATAGACATCTAATGCTGGTCATTTGGCCTCACTGCACCTGTGGGTTCTTGGTGGCCTTTGGCCTGAGCTGGTTAGTCATGGGCCTGGGCGTGGGAATGGTTCTTTCAAGTATACATGGCTACTTTTGAAGTGATTTTGCTTCTCTCGGGGTGTGGACCAGCAGCAGAGTGAGGCTCAGGTGCAGTCACTGATGCTGGATTTCTTTCTGAGTCTAGAGGAGTCTGAGAGCAGAGGGGAAGTGAGGAGGGTGGGAGGCGGGAGGTAGAATGTGGCAGGGTTTGGGCTGGGATTGGCACCCTTTTGGAAGCACATCAGTGCCTCTGGAGCAGAGACTGAATGTATCTGGGGTGCTCTGGGCCTGTGTCAGAAAGCACATCTTGGCTGGGCACGGTGGCTCCCGCCTGTAATCCTAGCACTCTGGGAGGCCGAGGCGGGCAGATTGCTTGAGGCCAGGAGTTCGAAACCAGCCTGAGCAAGAGCGAGACCCTGTCTCTACTATAAATAGAAAGAAATTAATTGGCAACTAGCATATAGAAAAAATTAGCCGGGCATGGTGGTGCATGCCTGTAGTCCCAGCTACTCAGGAGGCTGAGGCAGTAGGATTGCTTGAGCCCAGGAGTTTAGGTTGCTGTGAGTTAGGCTGACGCCATGGCACTTACTTACTCTAGCCTGGGCAACAAAGCGAGACTCTGTTTCAAAAAAAAAAAAAAGAAAGAAAGCACATCTTTGGCGTGTCTCTGAGAATCTGGAAAGTTACAAAACAAAACCACTGTTTAAAAATGCTCAGAAGGGGAAGGATATGAGCTGGTAGCTCACAGTGATATGCAAGTGGACAAGAAACTTTCAGAAAGGGATGCTTAACTTTACCAGTGGTCAAGGATATTGCTAATGGAAACAGGATGATACCATTTTTCAAATAGGCAAAAATAGACTGAGCACATTCACAGCTGGAGAAAATGGACCACTCCTGTTGCGATGGGAATTACTGTAACCTTTAGGGAAACAGTTCTGCTGCTGGGAATGTATCCAGTAGAAATGTAAGTACCAGTTATAAAGAGATGGATACAGCAGGATTTATTGAACATTATTTGTAGAAGGGAAAGACTGGTGGCAGCCGGATACTCATCAAGAAGGGAATGGGTGGATACATTCTGGTGTGTCCACAGTGTCCATAGGGACACTGTTCATTTATTGCAAAGACTGAGATGTGGCCTCTGTGTACAGGCTTAGAAAAGTGACCATAAGTAGGTGACAAACGCATGCTACAAAGAAGTGTATATTGTGTGATCTTATTTTTACTAAAAATCACCCCCCAAGATCCATGCATATATGTTTGTATTAGAATGAATGGAGGGATGTACTTTATATACTGTACTTCAAATCATATATAGCATACAATTTGAATTGCTACAGCAAGCATGTAATACTTTCATAAATCAAATGACTGAAATGAAAATAAAAAGCTGGGAAGATGGGAGTGAAATGTGAAGTTAAAAACTCATGGCCAGGCACAGTGGCTCACGCCTGTAATCCTAGCACTCTGGGAGGCTGAGGTGGGCAGACCACTCAAGGTCAGGAGTTCGAAACCAGCCTGAGCAAGAGCAAGACCCCGTCTCTACTATAAATAGAAAGAAATTAACTGGCCAACTTGCCTGTAGTCCCTGTTACCCTGGAGGCTGAGGCAGGAGGATCACTTGAGCCCAGGAGTTTGAGGTTGCTGTAAGGTAGGCTAACACCATGACACTCTAGCCCAGGCAACAGAGTGAGACTCTGTCTCAAAAAAAAAAAAAACAACTCATAAGAAATTACAATTCAGAAGGTCAGGGGCAGTTCCGAGTCTGCTCAGCAGACAGGCTGATCTCCTACCGCCCTGCAGCATCCCCAGTGAGACCCTAAATCACAGATTGCAGATCTCAGGCCTGTTGTATGGGGTGAGCTGCTGCTTCTCAGCCCTACTGAGGGTTCTGTTTTCAGGTGCTTCACAAACACAGCCAGAATCTGCGTTTAGTGAGGAGAAGGAGGAGTTCCCCTGGAGGCTTGGGGGCCAGCATGGCTACCCACAGGAGGAAACCGACCTTTCCTGGTGGGAGCTTTGGGGACTTGCTGCTCAGAGGCCCAGGCTCCTGGGCTTCACCTTCTGAGCCAGTTTCTTATCTGTGCACAGGGAATCTTGGTGGGACCTCTGGACAGACTATGGTGGGCATCACGTGAGCAATGTGTAAAGAGCTTGGCTGGAGACTCGGCTCGTTGCAATTCCTCACCAGGCGTCTGTCCTCACTCTGATAGAGTCTAGCGCTGTAACTGCAGCAGAGACCGTCATGTAGAGTTCATCTCACAACTGATGGGAGCACGGCAGCTGCCGTAGGATCTCAGTTGGGAACTGCTGTTCCAGACATGCACAGACAAAATTAGTTAGGGCACAGTTTAAGTTGCTGTAACAAAGAGACCCTGAAAAAGAGTAGCTTAAATGAGATAGAAGTTTATTTCTCTCTCATAGAACAGACCAGATGTAGGTAGGGCTGGTAGGGTGGCATTGCCATTCTTAGCATGTGGCTTTCATCTCTGAGTCCAAAGTGGTTGCTTCAGCTCCTGCCATCACATCCACATTCCAGTCAATGGAAAGAGGAGAAAAGGCAAGGGTGGCACACAGCTCAGAAATGGCGCACATGACTTTTGCTGTCATCTCATTAACTAGAACAGCCACACGATCACAGTGGAGGCTGGGAAACAGTCTGCAGCTGGCTGGCTGTATGCTTAGCTAAAATTCATTGTGTTCTATTATTAAAGCAGGAAGGGGAGAAAGGATCTTGGTAGGCAAGGAGCAGGCTCTATCAGCCAGACCACCAGAAACCTGAATGTTTTCAGTGGTTGACAAGTATATCCATCTCTTAATTTGTACCAGGCCCTGTAAATTCACAGGGGTAGGTCAAGCAGACCATCCCTCTCGTGTACAGCCCAGAGTTTAAGTGGGGAGAAAGGCTTAAATAAATAAGCTCTATGAAGGCAGAGTAGAAGGGGTGATGAGAGAGTATATTAAGGGGTCTGTATAAGTTTTAAATGAAAATGTTTCCATACGCACATAATAAAAATTCAAACAGTGAGATATAAAGTGCCCCCATGGGGATCCCGACATAGATGGGTAAACTGGCAAAGGCCTTTCTGAGGCAGGGCCTTGAGGCTTTAGGGTGTGTCAGCCAGGTGGAGCCAGGTGTGGCACCCTCCAGGCAGGGTGCACTCAGCCCCCACGGGCTGCTCACACGTGTTCTTTCTCTCTCACGCAGGGCACCTGTCAGTCCTGTGGTGTCACTGGACCAAACCTGTGGGCCTGTCTCCAGGTAAAGGATCCTTGCAGCTGTTGCGGGCATGGAGCTCACTCTGGACTCTGGGTTGGGAACGTCTGTCCCTCATGGGCGCTGCCAGAATCCTTGGGCAGGGACACAGGGCTCCAGAGCTAGCAAGTCCCTGGGCTGGACACTCTGAAAGCCATTACAAATGACAGGATAAAAGCAAGTTGGAGAAGACTCTGGATGAATGGGCGCATCTTCACAAGAGGCAGGATTCTGTACTGGCACATGTATGAGAGGCGACGTGGGCGTCTTGTCTTTGAGGCTTAGCAGTCTCTCCCTGGGCCAGCCGGGTCTCTTCCCTGGGCCTTCGTGTCCCCATGTCCCCATGCTGGCACACCGACAGCTGTCCCTGCCTCCTGGGTTGGGATGCGACTCACAGGACAGATGCCTGTGTTGGACAGAGCATGGCGCGTGGCCCAGAGACAGTGTCCAGGAGAATCCGGAAATGCTTTGATTCCTTTTACTCTTTTTAATAAGCAGTAGATGTGGCAGAACGTGACAGTTTTTTCTGGGAGGTAGAATTATAGGTAATTTCCTTTTTTTCTTTCTAGTATCTTAAAATTTTTCTATACTTATGTATTTTTATAGTCATACTAAAAATAACTTAAAATTTCTTTTTTACCGAACCTCACAAATAGAAGCAAAGAAGAGCTAGGGGGTAAAGACATCCAGTCAGTCTTTGCGGAAGACACTGGGGCAACGTTTACAGTGGCCATCCCTGCCCGGTGTGAACTTCAGGTGTAGGGACCTGTGTTCCTTTGCCGTGGTAGAGCCTCAGTCCCTTGTGGGTCCTTTTTGGTAAGAGTTGGGGGACACTGACTGACGTTGGGGTGGAGTCAGAGACATTGCGTTGGCAGTGTGCTCTTGGCCAATACCAGTGCCTCTCCTTCCCTTTCCCCAGGTGGCCTGCCCCTACGTTGGCTGCGGAGAGTTCTTTGCTGACCACAGCACCATCCACGCACAGGTGAGTGTGGTGGCCGAGAGGTGGGCTCTGCAGCCAGACCCCTGGGGCTCAAAGCCCAGCTCCCGCCACCTCCCAGCTGCATCCGCCTGCTCTGGGCCTCAGCGGCTGGGCTGCAGGATGGGGTGATCATAGCAGGGGTGCTGCAAAGAAGCAGGGCAGTGAGGGTGAAAGCATTTTGCATGTGCACCTGTCTGATAAATGGCCGCCTTTGGTTTCCTGGCTGGAAGGTGAGCAAAAGCCGAGCGCCCACCCTCGGTCCTGACAGGGCCTCTTGCTGAGGCTGGGGAGCAGAGGCAGCCCCAGTGCACGCTGGGGCACCTAGTAGGCCAGTGTAACCCTGCCCTTATTTAGGTTCCTTCCCTCTAGGCAAAAAAGCACAACTTGACAGTGAACCTGACCACGTTCCGCGTGTGGTGTTACGCATGTGAGAAGGAGGTGTTCCTAAAGCAGCGGCTGGCAGCCCCCACTCCGGGCTGCTCACCCAAGTTCTCAGAGCAGGTAACAGATGCAGTGGGGGCCCTTTGGTTATTGGCAACACTGTCAAGGACCAGGGCAGTGTGACCGGTGCATCGGTGAGCCTGGGTCCGTGGGTCTCAGACGTAGCCTGTTCCTGGGCTGGTGTATGTGCAGGTGACTTTGAGGAGCTTGTGCCAGCAGATGCTCACCGAGCCTGACTGTGTGCCAGAGGCTTCGAGGTGCAGAGGTGACTAAGGGTGGCACCTCCCTCGAGGAGCGCAGAGGTTGTGGGGCAGCCATGTGGAAGTGCAGGATTGGGGTGGGCTCAGGGCCGCAGCATGAGTGTAGATCCTTCCAGACCTTGTGGAGAGGGCTAACAAGGTCACAGCCCTGGCAATCCCGGATCCAAAACGTTTCTTCAGAGAATCCTGAGTAACGACTGCAGGGTCTTTCTCTGTGGGAAACACTGGAAAACACCTGGGTGGCGTGTTGGCCACCGAGCAGCAGGCTGCTGTGCAGCCCCTGGGGGTGGCAGCCAGCAAGCCACACCCTGCAGGGCCCCGCCCGGCTGGCCCTGGGTAGCGGGCAGTCAGCCCAGTGGTCACACGGCCCCCGGAGTGGTGGAGGCTGGGATGCCGGGACGGTACGCACGTGCGTTGCTGTCTCCTCCCCATTTGGACAGTCTGAGTTGTGCTCGATGAGTGCTTACTGAATACATTTGTGAACTTGGTGGATATTTATGAGTTTTTATAAAAGCTATGAAATAATACAATATCCTGTTTTTATGTATATATGGCTGCATTAACAGCTAACTCTACAGATATCCATATAGACTATTAACAGTGATTCTCAGGAAAATGGGGTTGCATGCTTTTTCTGTTTCTATTTTTTTCCCAAATTATAATGAATTATTATTTTCATTATTACAAATAAAAAAATACAAATCAGGGAGTTCCCAGGGTGAGGCCACCAACCCCACAGAGTCCTCTGCTCGGATGAACTGACCTAGCCCAGCGTGGGGCTGTGGGGCTGCCCTCCCTCGGGGCAGGGCCACATGGGCCTCTGACTCCAGCCCCTCTCCTCCTCCCTCCCGTTTTTCCTCTGGGTCTTTAACACAGGACTCTCCGCCACCCTCCCATCCCCTGAAAGCTGTTCCCATCGCCGTGGCTGACGAAGGAGAGTCCGAGTCAGAGGACGATGACCTGAAACCTCGAGGTAACGGCCCCCAGAAGAGGGGAGGCTGTGGGGCCAGGCTGGGGCCTCGGCCAGAGGCTGGAAAGCACCAGGGTCTTGTCCCCGTCTCTGCTCGCACCGTGCTGCTGGCAGGGAGGGGCAGGGTGGCGGGTGCGCTGTACAGTGTGGTGGCTTCCCTCGGAGAGCCGGCCTAGCTGAGGTCCTGAAGACCTGGCCTTTGTTCCTCTCAGCCATGTGACCCTGGGCAGGTGGCCCCTTTGCCCCCAGGCCTCCTTGTATGTGTGGCATGGACAGTGGGCCTGGCGGGGTTGGGGGGACAGAGAAGCCTGTCTGTTAAATACACTCAGGTGACTGTAGCCGTGTGGGCAGGAACCACGTGGACGTACTTGGAAGGTTTTTGGGGGGGACACATGTACCCATGTCCTCTGCCTGGATCCTGGGGTGCTGAGAGCCATAGCTGAGTGTGACTTGTGGGGTCTCCTCCAGGGCACTCACCTTCCCTCCCTTGTCACATTTGTTCCCCAGGCCTCACAGGCATGAAGAACCTTGGGAACTCTTGCTACATGAACGCTGCCCTGCAGGCCCTGTCCAATTGGTAGGTGTCAGTCGTCCAGGGGTGGGGGCCGGGGGCTGACCCTGGCAGAGCCGTGGGAGCAATGGCAGCCCCTTAGCCGTGTCACACATGTTGCTCACAGATGCATCAGTCCCTAAAATCAGGCATGCCCTTTGACCCAGCAGTTCCTCTTGTCAGAATTTATCCTAAGAGATGCCAAGAGAGTTGTTTATTCCAAGATACTCGTTGCTCTGTTGTTTATTGGAAACAATTTAAAGGCCCAACTGCAAGGGATATACATTCATTGTAGCCCCGCCTTGCAGTGAATCAGGGAAGACGGTGCAGGACGGCAGTCACTGCAGCAGGAAGGGGTTCAGAAGCTGGCGAGTGTGGGACAAAGGCTGTAAGCTTAGCGTGGCACAGTCTCATCGTGGGGGAAGTGTCATTCTCCTCCGAGATGAGCCATCAGCTGTGAGGCCAGGGACGTCCCCTGTGTCTGTAAGCACAGCGCACAATGGCCTCGAGCTCCTGGTCTCCTACCCAGCGGGGATCCAGTGTGTATGTTAAGGGAAAGAGGGAGGGAATGGATACATATGTGTAGAAAAGTCTGGAAGGATAAAGGTGAATTATTGTTGTTTGCTTATTTATATCTTCTAATTTTCTTACAAGAAATGTATTTTTCTTATGTAATAAGATAACTTTTAAAAAACATAAGGGCTGGGTGGAGTGGCGCACCTGTAGTCCCAGCTACTTGGGAGGGTGAAGTGGGATCGCTTGAGCCCAGGAGTTCAAGGCCACTGTGTGCTATGGTGACACCTAGGAACGGCCACTGCACTCCAGCCCGGGCAACAGAGTGAGACTCTGTTTCTTAAATAAATAAATGCATAATAAGGAAAAAAGGAGTGGGGGGATGCTGCCTTCTGAAGAATGGACCGTTGGGAGGAGGAAGAGCTGGTTCTTCTCTTGTTCATGCAACAACCGTCCCTAGGCCCATGGGCTGCTGTCAGGAAATTTGCAGCTAACCCAGGAAAGACTGGGTGGCTTCAACAACAGAAACTTACTGGCTCTGGAGGCTGGAAGTCTGCTGTCAGTGTGTCATCGGTTCTTTCTGAGGCCTCTTTCCCTGGCTTATAGACGTCCACCTCCCTCACCTGGTCCTCACCTGGTCTTTCCTCTGTGTGCACGTGTGTCTGGTGTCTCCCTTGTGTGTGTCCAAGTTCCCTCTTCTTAGAAGAATGATCATGTTGGATTAGGATCTGCCCTAACAGCCTCATTTTAACTTAGTCACCTCCTTAAAGTCTCTGTCTCCGAAGATGCTGAGATGCTGGGGGTTAGGACTTCAACCAAGGGATTTTAGGGGGACACAAGCCAGCCCATACAGGTGGGATCCTTCTAGTCACCCGCAGGCATTTCTGGGTCCAGAGGGCCATGTGTGTCCCTGCACAAGTGCTCGGGCTCTTGCTTCTGTACCCAGCTCTACATAAACAATGCCACACGCCTGTCTCCCCTCCTGACCCGGCTCCCTCTCTGCTGCCCCCAGCCCGCCGCTGACCCAGTTCTTCCTGGAGTGTGGAGGCCTGGTGCGCACAGATAAGAAGCCAGCCCTGTGCAAGAGTTACCAGAAGCTGGTCTCTGAGGTCTGGCACAAGAAACGGTGAGCAGCCAAGGCCCCGACCTTGGGCAGTGTGTGGGGACCGCTTTTCTGTCGGCGCCCTTGACTGAGCACTTCCTGTGGATTTGGCCCCGAGTCCAGCACTTGCCTCACTTTGCCCCATCCAGGTGATGCTTTGGCAAATGCTCGCCCCAGCAAGCCTGTGGGGTACGTCTCACACCCAACCCTGTTTTACAAATGAGGAAACCAAGTACAGAGAGCTTTAAGTATCTTGCTCAAGGTCACTCGGCCTGTGAAAGGGAAGCTAGAGTTTGAACCTGGTGTTGACCCTGGCTGGCGGCCACAGAGCACTTCTCTGTGGCAAGAGAAGTGCATGACCAGTGCTGGGCCTCCACCCTGCCTCTGCGTGTGGGGGCTGGGCTGGGACTTCTGGCATGGTAGGGAAATGAATTTAAAGACCAGAAACTTGGACTGGATCTGTTTGTCCAGGAAATGTCAAAGTCGGGCATAATTTAAAATGAGTGCATAGAAATATATTAAGTATAGAAGCCGATTAAAAAATATATGATACAATGTAATTCCAATTGTGTCAGAAGCCAAGTTTAAGTGTTCCCCTATATATACTTTTGTTTATATTTTCACAGAAAAATCCAGAAATCTTAATGGTAGTTATCTTGGTATGGTGCCATTAGTGGTAGTGTTTCTTTGTTGTGCTTTTCTGAAGTTTTAGATTTTTAAATAAGAACATAAGACTTTTCCGACCTGGGCCAGTTCACCCCTCCTTAGGCAATCTTGTGGTCCCCCGCTCTCGGGAGGTCACCATATTAATGCCGAACAAAGGGCAGATACCTGATCGGCATAGCGCACTACAGCCCAGAATTCCTGGGCTCAAGCGATCCTCCCGCCTCAGCCTCCTGAGCAGTCGGGACTATAAGTGCACACCACCTTGTCCAGCGAACATAAGACTTTTTTTTTTTTATTTTATTTTATTTTTTTTCCTTTTTTTAGCAAGTGGCATACAAGGGAATCCATAAGACTTTTGAAATGAGAAAAACCACAATAAATATTTTAGAATGAAACAGTGTTCACAGTGGGCTTGTTGCGGACTAGTGGGAAATGATGCCATCCCAGTCAGGAGCTCCCTGCTTGGGCAAGGCTGCCGTGACTTGATGCTTTCCTTCTTGTCGGTGGAGTTGTGTGAGCCCGTTGGGGTCCCTGGCCGGGGAGGCCCCTCCCAAAACCTAAGGAGACACCTCTGAGTCTGTCCAGCTTCCTGGCTGCCTGCTTCTCTCAGGGCGGGATGGCCCTGCGAGGCCACCTGCACTGACGGTGTGGTCTTCCCTCAGGCCGAGCTACGTGGTCCCCACCAGCCTGTCTCACGGGATCAAGTTGGTCAACCCAATGTTTCGAGGCTATGCCCAGCAGGTAAGGGGACACCCAGGCCGTTTCCAGGCCTGGCTGTGAAGCCAAAGCCAGAGTGGAAAGTGGCAGCAGGAGGTGAGCAGCCAGCCTTGCAGGTGGGGAGACTGAAGCCCAGGTGACACCGCTGGTACATGACAGCAGGGAAGTTTGAACTCAGGCAGGCAGCCCGGTCTGAGTCCATGTCCCTTAGCACCGCACTCAGAACGGCACATGGTTTCTTATTCCCCGAAACACAGGCAAAATTTCACTTTTATTAATGTAAAAACTTTGATTTAAAAAAGTTTTTAATCTGGTTAACACCTTTGACACCAACTAAAAATATTTTTCTATTGAATAAAATTACGAGACCAAGACATAGCAGATCGCAGCTGCGCCTCAGCCTCGGCCCCGGGCTGGGAGTCCCTGCGGCGCGGTGCCCACCCGAGGCTGCTCCACGGCGGGGCCGCGGCTGCTGGGCCTGCGAGCAGAGCTGGCCCTGTCTGGGTCGCCTCTGCTGCTGCCTGATGTGGGACCACGTGGAGAGGTGGTCACTCGGGGGTACCTGCGGCCTCTCCTTCTGCCCCCATCCCCCTGCCTGCTGTCCGTCCCAGGGTGAGATCTGCTGGGCATTTGACTCCTGCCCGAGAAGCCTGGGGCTGCCAGAAACGCCTTTTGAGAAATAACATCTACAGTGGTGCAAATGTACTGTGGTCCGTTTGTTAAGTGGTCATGTCGTACCATGTAGATGCGGCCCTTTTAATCCTCACAGAACTCTCATGAAGTGGGTCCTGTTGTCACCCACATGTGTGTTACAGGTAAGGAGCTGAGGCTCAGAAACTTCTACACCTCACTCAGGTCACACAGCACATGGTAGCAAGGACGGGATTCAGGCCTGGCTGAGCCTGTCCCTCACCACAGCGCGGCCCCGAGTCTGCACGAGGCACCCTGCGGGGCTTCGGCTCTGGATGAGGACGCTGTTAGGTAGGGCTGCGTGGTACCCGTCTGGACTCCGGCAGAAGTACCTTTCGGTGGTTCTCGGGCATGATGCAGGGGGCTTTTCTGAGTCTGAAAAGTAGATGCAGCTGTGGGCCTCTCTTAATGGCTGGAGGATGGTTTCCTGCTTCTGCATGGATTAAAATGTTGGCAACGAACACAGTACTTTTGTTGAAAGGAAGAAAGAAAGAGAAGTAGATGGCATATGAAAGCCTGTTCTCAAAAGGGCTTTTCGGTGTGCCTGCCACAGGACACGCGTGCCTCTCCTGCTGCAGCACAGCTGGTGCTCAGTTCCTCTGATCTTGGCACCTGATACTTTGCCCCTGGAAACGCATCCTGAGCCTGCCGTTCCGCCACGAGGACTGGGCTGCGCTCCAGCCCTGACTCGAGGCTGGCTCTGGGGGCTGCTTGCCTCCCCCGTCAGGACTTGGGCTGGGGCCTGCTTCTGACGGGCGGAGCTGGCCTTGGAACCCAGATCCTCCTTTGTGGCCTGCCACCACCACAGGTGCCTCCAGATGTCCGGGTTGGCACCATCGCCACGTTCTGACCTTGCAGAAGGTGCCTGCTGGCCTGGCTTCCTGCTGGCCTGGTGGCCCAGTCACAGAGTGGTCAGAATAACACTGTCACCACTGTGATTTGACACCCAGCCAAGCCCGCAGAGGCAGCTTAGTCCAAGTCATACTCAGGTCTGGGGAGGTGAGAGCCGCCTCCAGGCCTGTACTCAGGTCATAGTGTCGCAGGGAAGATTCAGGCACACAGGCTGAGGGGGACAAGAGAGGTACATGGGGGCTGATAGACGGACTGGGAGAGAAGCGGGAGGCAGAGGAAGGGTGGATCATGGAGGTGGCCTGGCCTGTGGGTGGCGTCCCTTGGCGTGGGACTTGGCTGAGCCTTCCATGTGCACAACTGGGGTCCATCCTGACTCCCCCTGGCCCCTGTGCTCTGAAATCACCCCTACCCCAACGCTGTGAGCGAGCGTAGGAGGAGAGAGGGAGGTCTCACATTCAGCTGAGAGTCACCGCTGCTCCCTAAAGGGAAGCGATAGGGAGCGGACACTAAC